GATAACCATTGATAATTTCCTACCATTTTGTGTGTAATTTGCTAAGTCCCCCCTATTATTATGTTATCCTTCTTTTATTCTTTAAAATAAAAAAAAAAAGAAAAAGAAAATATGTACTTTTTGTTTGTTGTTGAAGTCACTCATGTTGTGATACTTTGTTACAGTATTCCTTGCATGTTAGTACAAGGAGTAATGAGGAAGAAATTAATCTTTTCCTACAGAAGTGGATTATAAATCCTCACAATGTGAGATGAATACGAGACAGCAGTTACCTCTCCATTCTCTACTCTAAATTTGGTGGTGTTTATTTTCCCAGACAATATGAATAAAAAATTTATTTTTTTGAATTTTCATTAAAAAATATCCAGCTACAAGATACTGTGCTAACATAAATGTTGTCATCAAGCTGGCAATATGAAACCAGGCATGGTAGTATAACTAGTATTCCCAGTACTTGGGAGGCTGAGGCAGGAACAGTAAATTGAAGGTCAGTCCGGATTAGTGAGACCACGCCTCAAACAAAACAAAACAAAACAAACAAAATGAATAGAGCAGATTGAGACACATAGTAATCTTTTGAGAATCCCAGTTATTCACCATATGCTTCTCTACTATCTGTTTCTACTTCACTGGTTAGAACTATAATCCCAATGTCTTTCAGGCCATAAAGGCACTAAAATGACGAAAGTGGTTGACTTGAAGAATAGACTGTATCCCCTAAAATTCAGGGTTTGAAACTCTTTACTTGTGTGAAGAAAGGTGACTGCAAATATTTATCAGCTGATAATCACTATTTGCTTTTGCTTTTTTAGTAGGTCTTCTGTAGCCAAGGAGATTGATCTATATCTGCAGATTCAGCCAACTGCAGATTAAAAATATTTGGAAAAATATTCTCTGTATTTAACATGTATATTCTTTTCACTTATTCATTTTCCCCAAGCAATACAGTATAACACCTATTTATGTAATGTTTCCATTGTTTTAGGTATATAAAAGTGACTTAGGGCCAAGGAGATAGCTCAGTTGCAAAAAGCACAAGGCCAAGGAGATAGCTCAGTTGCAAAAAGCACAAGGTCCAGTACCAAAAAAAAAAAAAAAATAGAGTATATGGCTATAGGGGGAGAGGAAAAGATGGAGGGAGGATGGTTAACATATACAGCAGTGCAGTTGGATGAGAGAACTACTAATGTTTTCTCACACAATAGGTAACTATGGTTGACAACAATTAATGGAGTATTTCAAAATTGCTAGTACAGAGGAGTTTGATGATCCCAATACAAAGAAAAGACATGTCTGAGACAACAGATATGCCAAAAACCCTGATCAGCTCATCCATACTGTATACATATATGAAAATGTTATGCTAAACCCCATAAATATGTACACTTGTTGTATGTTAAATACACATAAAAATGTTTAAAATAATTATACTAAAATATACAGGGAAAAGTACATAGGTTATATGTAGATACCATGGTTATACAAGGTTGAGCAGCCAGAGACTCTGGTATCTAAGGGGAGTCCTGGATCCATACCCCTTGGATACAGAAGGACAATTGTATGGCCTACCATTTCCAAGGACCTGGGTATTCCTTAATGTTAACATCCACCTCTGAAGACATTCCAAGTTAAGAGAGGTTAAAGGAATTTCTGATTCATGGATTTTCTGCTGATTGCCGTTATCCACTGTCCCAATTAGATCATGGCAAGCTTATTGAATTTTTTTTTTTTTTTGGTCTTTTTTGAGGCAGGATCTCGCAATGCAGTTGAGCTTGCTGGCCTTGAGCTCGCTTTGTAGCTCAGACTGGTCTTGAACTCGTGACGATCCTCCTGCCTCAGCCTCCCAAGTGCTGGGATTACAGGCGTGCGCCACCACACCCGGCAAGCTTATTGATTTTTGGGAAGTTGTTGCCTAACAATACTCACACTGTCTACATACCTTCCATACATTTCTTTTCTTCTTCCAGTGAAATGTTGGTTTCTAAATCCTTATCATTGTGTTCTTCATCAGAGAAGCTGTGGTGGTTGAATACTTAGGCCTCTTTACCACCATACACAATGTATTCTGGGTACTCACAATCCCCCTCTTTCATGGTGGTTTCTGCATCTTCAGAGTATCCAACAGATTCTTGATATTCCCCTTCGCCTAAATATAAAGAATCATCTGGCTCCTCATATCTTTGTCCATCGCTTAAAAATGTAACAGTAGCTGGAATTTCATATTCAACTTTCTCAACTGAATTTAATAATGTGACTTTTGGTGTATCATATGCTTCCTCATTGTCCCTAGAGGACAAAGCAGTTTCCCTGTGACTAGTTTTCTTGTGCCTGGAGAGCTCCAAGCTTTTCAAATGTAAGTGTTCTTTCTCTATGGAGGGCAGAAGAACTTCAGGGTTCTCAGGCTTTTTCTTTCCAGGGGAAGAAGTATCTTGTAAATTCTTGCTTAGTCCCTTAGATTGACAAGCTGCTATACTCTCATGTTTCAAACATTCTGAAAAGAACAAGATTTGGTTATTTGTTTCATTTTGCTAGAAGTAATAAAGAGAACTAAGTTCACTTGAGTTTTAAGCCCTCAGAACATCACCTCTGCCTTTTCTTTTTTTGAGACAGGATTCACTATGCTGCCCAGTCTATCCTCCAACTTCTAGGTTTAAGTGATCCATCCTTGTGACTCAACCTTCTAAGAAGCTCAAGCCATAGGCCTATAATCCCTCTTCTTTATTTCACCGAGAGGTAAGAATACCTACTGCCTCCTACGTAATCTGTATGGCAAAAAATCAACAGTCCAAACTGCTTCCCACAGAAAAAAATCAGATGGTACAACTGCCTTGTTCAAAAGTTTGTCTCTCATGGAAACTTTACAGGATAAATGAATGAAAAAAGAACTTTTGAATCTTACAAAATGTTTCCTTATGAACTTACTGTGACCCACAAGTCAGATTTCCTGGGACCATTGTTAATGAAATCTGATTTGAATAATTCCTAATATATAATCAAAGAGCTGTAATTTAGAATAGTACACCCTAGAAATAATAAAGCCTATTTTTTCTAAGCATATTATCTTGTCCAACACTAGGGATCATTAAGATTCACTTTTTAATGAAAACAATTATTCCTTTAAAATCCCTTAAAAAATTCTGAGTATCTTTTAAATTCCCTTTTTAAAAAAAGAGCTACAGCTGCCTCTAGTGGTAATTTCCACAATTCTAAGCAATACATTCTGAAATAACTGCTCCCTCATTGGCTACTAGTTATTTTTGAACCACCTAAGACTTACCATTTGTATGCATATCAAATTAGCTACCACACAAGATTTTGAAATGAAAAGGGTTTAATGTAATGGATATGCCAATATCATTGATTTGATCTTTACACATTGTATACACATTGAAATATCACACTGAACCCCATAAATATGTACAATTATTATGTGTCAATTAAAATATTGTTTGGTAAACAATATTTTAATCCGCTATGCAGTTCAGGCTCGCCTTGAGCTCACTGTGTAGCCCAAGCTGTTCTCGAACTTGCAATGATCCTCCTGCCTCAGCCTCCCAAGTGCTAGGATTACAGGCGTGTGTTCCCACGCCCAGCTTCTGTCCATATTATCAGAGAGAAAAATGAAATTACTAATCAGTCATCTATGTATGCTAAAAATTATTTTCCTGTATTTTCAGAAAGGCTATCTCAATTAAAGATGATGGTTGAGGTTCTGCAATTGTTAACGTGTGAATTTACTTACTTGGAAAAAGAAATAAGATTGTGTCACAATTAACAGTATTTTCCTTCCAACTGCAGGAGTTCAGGCTGTTACTACCAGAACAATGAGAACTTTACTGTAGCACTAAAGCAACTGAAAGTTGTGGTACAGTCTGAACAACAAATTACCAGCCCCTAATCATTGTTCCTTGCTCTGTAAATGCTGCACACCTGCCCTATCTGATATTTCAGTGAAAATTTTCTCCCGGAAAAAGACGAACAGAAAATCTCCCTCTCTCCTAACCCCCAAAATTTATACTTCAATTTACCATGACTTAAGCCCCAAGTGGTAGCAGGCTATGGAAAAATACTCAATAAGCACTGGAAAAACTGGTCATAGCTCACTTCTCCCTCTTTCTGTATTAAAATTAACAGCTTCTGGCTTTTCTTCAGGGGATCCACAACTTTCTCTGGAGTCTCATACTCATCCTGAGAAATCAGCCTCTGAGAGGTTAATTCATCTAAAATACAACCAGGATCTTCTTGGAGGATTTTAAGCAACTCTTCTTGCTGTTTTTCTATGACCTCTGAGGGAGCACTCCCCATAGCCATTGTTTCTGTTTCCTCAAGACCAGGAAATGAAGTCATTCTGACAGATGGACAAATAAGAGTGGAAAAAAAAGCACATGAAACCAACAAGTTGAAAAAGAGTTTTAAAAATCAGAAAGCTACAGCTGGGAGTAGTGGTACATGTCCGTAATTCCAGCACTCTAGGGGGCAGAGGCAGAAGAAAGAGGATCATATAAATTTAGTGAGATCCTGTCTCAAGATTAAAAAAAAAAAAGCCTGGGGTGTAGTTTAGTGCAAATGCCATGGATTCAATCCCTAGCACCATAAAAAAAAGTAAAAAATAAAAGAGCAGGAAGTTCTTTTTCCAGCTCCCTTGTGCTGAAAGACAAACTTCTAATCCAGCCCTGCTGCCAGCAAAGTTTCAAGAGGCTCAGTCAGACTTTCAACATGTCTCTGGGCCTGCTGGTGTGCTAAAGCCCAGCTGAACCTATGTACTTGTTCTTTCACTTCTGTTCTGCTCCTCCTATTAAAGTGCTTCTGTGCTGGAATGGGGGCAAAGATAACTACCATCAAACTTTGGCCAAATTGTGAATACTTTTTCTGGTTTTATGGGTGTCTCGGTTACTTTTCTCTCATTGCTGAGACAAAATATCTGACACCAGAAATTAAGGATCGAAAGGTTTATTTAGCTCATGGTTTGTGGAGGTTTCATTCCATATTTGGCTGGGTGGCACATGGCAGAGGGCAACAGCAAAGGCAGCAAGAGTAAAAAGGGAGGAGTGGCAAGATCAAGCCTCTTTCCTTCCCTCATATTTTCCCAGGGCGGGTGTAGCACTCACACCCATAATCCCAGCATTGGATCATCAATCAATCATAAACTCTAGAAGCCTGCCCCATGACTATATGAGGCTTTGGGGGGACATCCAGACACAAACCATGACACTGGGCCTCTTGGTAGTGGGTTGGTGAAGGAAAAGGTTAGTGGAGGTCCAGATTTAGGCCTTTGGCCAAGTCCCTGGCAACAGTGTCATTGTATCTGCCAATGATAAAATATGTCACTGACACAGAGTGGAGGAAGTGGCAGATGCCAATGCACACAGTGTGGAAATCCAGTCCTGTGCACTCTGTGCCCCTGGCACCCTATGGATTATTTATCTACGGTTCCTTAGGTATTTTTTTCTTCTTCCTCTTTTGGTAGTGATGGGATAAACACAGAGTTTTGCAGTGCTCAACTGGTGGACTGACTCCCCTGCCTTATCTGCTGTTTTAATGACTTGAGAATCTCAAGACTCAACCCGGGGGTCACCTTCTCTGAGAAGCCTCTCTTAAACCTCAGGTTGGACTAGGTATTTCCTGCTCTGAGCACCACACTCTGATGATAAGAATGTAAATTAGTTCACTGATTTTTGGAGGTCAATTTGGTCATTGATTTTTGGAGGTCCATATGGAGCACTAAGCAAATGAGTTAGATAAAAGTAAAAATTCATACCCTTCAATAAAGCAATTCCACTTTAGGAAACCACTTTAAGGAAACATGAATGCCAAAAGCAAGAATCTACATTATAACACTCCAGAATTTTGAGAGATAGGAGAGACCACTTAGGAAATAGGAGGGTTTTATTAGGTGTACTTGAATCTATTAGACTTTTGTCCAAAAGACTGAGTGAGAACAAATGGAAGGTTCCAAGTTTTATATAAGTGTGTGGCGGGGGGCGCTGTTTACTGGTACAAAAAGAGGTGAGAATACAGACAAAGACAGTTATTCATACAGTGACAGTTTTGCAACCTTTGGAATCTTTGAACCTTGTGAGGACAGGAGGATGACATAACGCCATGGGGAGGTACAGAACTCTTTCTTCAAGACCGTAACTGTCATTCTTATCAGGAACAGAGCAGCAATCAGCCTTGAAGAAAATAGATCCTGGTGGGAACTGCTCGCAGGAGTACAGTTGTTAACATTATTTACAATTTTGCAGAGGTATATACTTCCAGGGAGGGGAGTTCGGGGAGAATTTACTCAGGCTTGGTTTCCCTTTGAGGTCTGCTTTAATAATACTGTTTATGATAACAAATGATAAAAAATAACCTAATTTTTATAAATTGAAGATCTGTGGATAAATGTCATATCAACAGTGAAACATCAAACTGTAAAAAATGATGTACTGATATATACTGATAATATATACTCTATATACTGATAATGATATCCATAATATCATTAATATTGTGATACTTCTAATATTAAATTAATATATAGCATATATGCGTCAATGCATTATATTAAATGTACATTATATTTAGATGAATAGAGTCAAGAGATACTCCAAATTTTAACATTGATTATCTCAGATATGATTACAGAAGGATTTATACTTCCTACTTTTTTTTTTTTTTTTTTTTTTTTTTGAGACAGGATCTGGCTATGCAGTTCAGGTTGGCCTTGAGCTCACTTTATAGCCCAGGCTGGTCTCGAATTCACAATGATCCTCCTGCCTCAGCTTCCCAAGTGCTGGGATTAAACGTGTGTGTGCCACCACACCCAGCTATACTTCCCACTTTCAACACTACTATTTAACATTTTTTTGTCATTAGTAGACTTTTTCTCATTTTGATGTAAAAAAACTAATTAGGCCAGGCCTGGTGGCACAAGCCTATAATCCCAGCACTCAGGAGGCTGAGGCAGGTGGATTGCCAAAAGTTTGAGGTCAGCCTGGGCTGTAAAGTGAGCTCAAGGCCAGCCTGAACTGCATAGTGAGACGCTGTCTCAAAAGACAAAACAAAACAAAAACTAATTGGCCATTGAGCCTGTAATCCCAGCACTTGGATCGTCCCAGGTTCGAGACCAGCCTGGGGTACAAGGTGAGCTCAAGGAGAACCTAAACTGCATAGTGAAACCCTGGCTCAAAAGACAAAACAAAACTAAGCAAAAAACTAATTGGTCTTTACTTACAGTTACATAGTTTGTAAGAACCTGAAAACAATCCAAATAACTATCAACACAATATTGAATGAAGACTATCAAATGTCACTTAATATTATATAGCATTCAAAAGGAATAAACTTCAGATACTAAGGTGAATTTTTTCCTCCTCTTTTACTCAGCCCAAGGTTCACTCTGCATAGCCCATTTTTCCCTTACCTTTCTGGTTTTTTTCCTACCTTTAATAAATGTGAAACTTTGCCATTGTTTACACTTGTTTGTTCAATTCTTTGGTCAGGAAAGAAAGAACCAAGAAAGCACCCCAGAAGGAGACTCCAGGTCCCCAAAACCTAATAACATATTGGGCTTAGCCAGCTGGGAGGTTTCCAAGAGACTTGTAGAAAGACAGTGCCTAACCTTCCTCCCATCAAGATGAGAGGCCAGTTTGGGAGGAGGAACTGAGCATGCTCAGTCCATCCCTTCAGTCTCTGGGGATCTCCTTGCCTATGGGGACCTGTGACCAACCTTCCAAAATCTTTGTTGTCAGAGCAAACTCTGGAGTCAGACTTGAACCAGCATCTCAGTGTCACAGGCTGTGTGACTTTGTCTCTCATGCAACCTGTGTCTTCATTAATAAAATGGAAATACTGGAAGCCTTAGCAGAAAACACCCAAGACATGCAAAATAAGACATGATTCACCTCAATTCAATGTACATACAACTTTCCAGCCTTTTTCACATAAAAGGGAGCCCATAAGGGCCTCTGCTTTAACTCTCATTTCTGTTCCACTTCATTCTTTTTGGCTTTGGTGTGGTTTTTGTTGTTGTGATTCTTGCTTTGTTTTGTTTTGGTTTTTGGATTTTTTTTAGACAAAGCCTCACTATTTTTCCCAGGCTGGCGTTGAACTTGCAATACTCCTGCTTCAGTCTGAGTGCTGGGATTTCAGGCATCCACTGCCATGCCCAGCTACATTCTTCCTCTCCAGAGGTGCCAGGGTTTGTTCTGTGTGCCCCTGAGACCTGGGAGAGGACTGCCTCAGTGTAGTGGGGGCATACAGGGCCACTGCAGCACCAGGGACAGTGTGGGTACAGTAGCTTTGGGCCAGGAGCAAGTAATGTCATTTCTCCTCAGACCAAGACATCACAAGATCCACTGTGGAGCAGTACTTAGGGGGTTGGGAACATGGAAGAAGCTGGGGCAGGGAGTGGAAAAGTAGCTCTGCCACCAACTTGCTCAGTGACTTTGGGAAAATTACTTCCCCTCCCTCGGATTCCTCCATATAAAATGAGGATAAGAACATGCACTCACCTCACATGTACGTTCTGAAGGCCAGCGGAAATCGCCCCATAGACAGCGCACCTGTACCTGGCACATAGCAAGTACTCAATAAAGCATGTGTGCCTGTCAGTGGCATGCAAGGGTCAGGCATGAGGGGGCATCTCTGGCAAAGGAGCTCCTTGTACCATCTCTGAGCCTTCACAATGGGAGATGGGGGAGAGCAGACACTGGGGTGTTGACTGAGAAACTCTCTGCAGGCTAAAGAATCATCTGGTCCGACTGAGGGTTTTTTCAATCAGCCACATATGACAGAGGCAAAATACTCCTTTGTAAACATTTCTCCTAGCCTGTGTAGTAGAAAAAAACACAATTGTTCTAACTGACACAATGTGAATATATTAAGTTACATGGCAAATGACTATAAAGGTCGCAGATGGAATTAAGGTTGCCAATTACCTGACTCTGAGATAAAGAAATTATGTACAAAAAAGGGGATCAAGAGATAGATGGATGATGCACCCCTGTAATTCCAGCTCTCAGGAAGCTGAGACAAGACGATCTCTTCGAGTTAAAGAGGACAGTGCACACTACAAGGTGAGTTCAAGGTCAGCCTACACTATACACCAAGACCCTGTCTCAGGAAAAAAAAAAAAGGATATATGGAAAGGAGAAGAAGGGAAGGGGAAAAGGATTTTTAAAAGAACTAAAATGTATTGTGTACATGTACACAGTACATTCCCCAAAAGGAATGTAAATAACAGGTATTAATAAAAAATAAACATTTGCCAACCCTGCTCCTCCCCAAGAAATTATCTGGGTAGGGCCAGTATAATTACAAGGAATTTTAAAAGTAGAAAAGGGAAAGCTGGGTAATTTCAGCACTCAGGAGGCTGAGGAAGTTGAGATCACTGAAAGGCAAGCCTGGGTTACACAGTGAGCCTGAACTCCACAGCCAGATCCAAAAAAAATAGAAAAAATAGTGAGGCAGAAGACAGTATGGCAATGTGACAGGGAGAAAGACTTTGAAGGTGAAAGGAAACAACCAAGGAGTTTGAGCTGCTTTTAGATTCTGAAAAAGGCAAGATAACAGGGTCTTCTTTTACAGCCTTTCATAAAAGCATGGTAGTATTATCAATGTATTATTATTTTTTCTGTGCTAGTAAACCCAGGGCCTAATGCACTTGAAAACTTGAAAGTTAGGTAAGCACTATAGCACAGAACTCTATCCCCAACGCTATATTTTAATTTTAGCACAGTGAGCCCTTCTGGTGCTTCTGATTGTGGTGAACACATAAAACAAATGAACATTGCTGGGCTACTGGGTGGAGGAAAAATGTCAGTTTGACCCAAAGAAAGAAAAACTTTGCTTGATTGTTAGTTTAGTTTGAAAACAATGTATGCGTTTAAGAACGTTCTGAACTTTGCAACACCTGCTTGCTGGAACCGATAGGTTCCGCTCTTTGCCCTTGCAAAAAAATCTTTTCACCTGCGCCAACCAGGATGTGGTTTTCAGGCTTAAAAGCTCAAACTTTCTTCGGTTCAGGGCTGCTCAGCATCTCCCTGCGTGGAGAACAGACTGACAGCCGCCGGCCCGGCTAATAAAGGCTCTTAAAATTCTAATTTGGATTCTGGTCTCGGTTCTTTATTCAGGGTAACCCATTACACTGATCACTAGAACTTTTATAAATTTGTGGTTTTTGTGATAAGAACACTTACCATGAGTTCTGCTCTCAACGGATTTTGAAGTGTGCGATATAGTATTGTTAATTATAGGCACAATACTATACTTCAGATCTCTAGAATTCATTCATTTTCCATAACATAAACTTTATACCTGTTTACTAAAGCTGTGTTGCTTTAAACTACTAAACTTCTGGTAACTTGTTACCACAGCAACAAAAAAGTAATATAGCACTTAATCCAGAAAATCTCCCTGAATTGCAGGTTGGTCCAATGACTCAAATTTATGCTTTCTCCTCTTCTCCCACACCCAATCTACCATTTGCATGAGAACATAACCATGTCCCGCTTCTATTCCTTGCTCCTAGAAAAGAGCCCTGTACTTATTAAGTACTAATCAATTGTTAAAAGTGTCAAAACAGAACCTCTGATTTCCAGGTTTTTTTTTTTCCTTTTTTTTTTTTTGTTTTTGTCTTTTTTGAGACAGAGTGTTACTATGCAGTTCAGGCTGGGCTCGAACTCACAGTAATCCTCCTGCCTCAGCCTCCTCAGTGCTGGGATTACAGGCGTGCGCCACCACGCGGGGCGCTAGCGTTCATCTTGCTCTGCAGGCCACCCCTTTGCTGAAACTTTGCGTGTGACCGGCCAGGTATTCGCAAATTTGCTTTAGAAAGTAAGCAAATTATACATGCCGAGACCGTTTTTCCTATTATGCATTTGGAGACATTCTAATTGTTTTTGCAAGGGTCCGAGCTTTGTCCACTAAAGAGGTTACAAATCCAGGTGGTCTGGGAATTGCCTTTCGAAAGTATCCACAGAGCGTCGTTTGTTTGTTTGAGAGCACAGATTTCCGGGACCTGCCCTAAGTGGGTGAATCCATTTCCTGCGGGCGGGAGCGGGAAACGACAGAACAAGCGCCACGTGTGGCTCCCGGCTCAGGGAACGGTGCGCTGCGTAAACATTGCCTTCTCTCCCTGGCAGAGCAGCTCGCCGGGAAGGCCAGTCGCTCTGCACTGCGCGGCCTTCTCTGACCCGGCGCACAGCGAGCGCCGCGCCGGCGCAGTGCCCGGCTGAGCCAGCCTGCACTCGAGATGCTGGAACACGCGGAGCAGCAGCTGGGCCGGTCGACGCAGGCTGGGTCACCCGCCACAAGCAGCAGGAGCAGAGCGCGAAAAGAACCCCCGCTGCCCCGCAGCTCAGACTTTCCGCTGGCAGGGCTCGCGCTCGCCCACCTCCTGAAACTCCATACGCTCTGCCAGGTTCCGCCCGCGCCTCTCAACTCCACCGACCTGTCGCGACGGACGCTTGAGAACGGTGCACCGCGCCCCGCAGGAAGTAGTTCCCTGGGCGGAAGCCTCGGAGCGTGATATAGCGGAAGTGCCTTCTCTTCCGGTCTCTTTGGTGTCCGCGGCACTAGCGAGATGGTGAGTAGGTTGCAGGGTCTGTCCGAATCGGTTTCCATCCGCCTTCCCTGTGGTGCGCTGCGTGCTGTCCCTGGGGAGCCGGCAAGGTTCCGAGTAAGGGGAGCTGCCGGGCAGAAAAAGAGCATGCGGTGCCCCGCAAGAGCCAGAAGAAAGACTCCTGGGTGGTGGGCCTAGCCTACAGTCTTGGAACTGGATCCCGTCTAGGTTCCTTCTGTTTTGTGGGGCTCACGCAGCTCTGCTTCGGATAGGACTATGAGGGAAGAAGTCTGAGAGCGTTGGGCTCTGTAACAGCAGAGGAATTGATGCTGGTTCCTGCAAGAGTCCTCAGGCTTTGGGGTAGGCACATTTTCGGTCTCCAGTCTTACGCCTTTTAAATACATATATGTGTGTAGTCGAGTCCGGGGTGATGGCACACCTGTAATCGGGGCACTGTGAAAGCGACTTGAGAACACTGCAGCTCTTCTCCGACAAGGGCTTAAGATAATGTGAATTACCAGCAGTGATCGCTGATGGGGCATGCACGAAGAATTAGAAACTTGCCCGGTTTTAGCCTTTGTAATGGCCTTGTAATCGTATCAATAGATGGTTTCCCAGAAAACGTCAAAATGCATACATAGAAATTACTAGGTTTCCGAATTGTTTACCCTTTTAATTTGTAGACGAAGGGAACGTCATCCTTTGGAAAGCGTCGTAATAAGACGCACACGTTGTGCCGCCGCTGTGGCTCTAAAGCCTACCACCTTCAGAAGTCGACCTGTGGCAAATGTGGCTATCCTGCAAAACGCAAAAGAAAGTGTAAGTGTTACTTGAGCCCCGCTAAAGGTTTGCGTTGCACTTAAGTGGGGATGTAATAAAAAACTGTTAGTGCGTCTGTATGAAGTGCAGCGGCAGCAAACTCTAGGTACTGTTAAATTGGCCAATAAGTGAGTAGAATCTTGTGTTTTAGATAACTGGAGTGCAAAGGCTAAAAGGCGAAATACCACCGGAACTGGTCGAATGAGGCACCTAAAAATTGTGTATCGCAGATTCAGGTACAGTTTTTGTTTTAACGTAGTGGGTCCTAAGGGCTGGACTAAGAAACGTTATTTGTGCTATTTGTGCAAAAGTATTGTACTCTGATTAGTAGGAACGAGGGCGTTGGAAGGTTTTGATTTTTTTGAGTAAACAATACGAGTTAAATCCAGAAGCTCTGAGCTATATTTCTCAAAATGTTGATTTACATCTAGCTGTAGTTTGTACGCAACTTTGTTGAGACAGTATTGCACCAGTGAGGAAGAGGGTAAGGCTGACTTGATTGAACGTTTATGGAGTTTGGTGAACAGTCGTTTTGCTGATGGCATTTGTAAGTGGATACCTTAGTCTTACTCAAAGTCCCGGTCAGTTGCACGTAAAATTTAGCTGCATTTTTACAGTGCCATGTAGGAGGTTAACTTAACCACCATTCCAGTTGAGATTGAAAATGAAACAGGCTTCATTTAAGCCAGTGCTTCCATTATATTACTATGTTGTTTCAGCAATTGTGAACTTCTCTATCTGGGCTGGAAAATTCCTTATTATAGGCAATTATCTGTGTCAAATGTATTTCAAAGAATAAGTAGCCTCTACCCACTTGTCAGTGTAGAATTTTATTTTTTTTTATTTTTTTTTTTTTTTGGTTTTTTTCCGGTACCAGGAACTGAACTCACGACCTTGCGCTTGCCAGGCAGGCGCTTTTGCCGCTGAGCTAAATCCCCAGCCCCAGTGTAGAATTTTAAAAGGTCATGAAGCTTACCTTGATCAAGTGAACTTCAATTATTTTGCAGTCATTATGTGGGCTCTGTGTTGAATAGTTTTCTAGTGTAATGTGAGAGCTGAGCCCATAAGCCAAGGACAGACTTTAGAATTGCTTGTTAACCTTTCTCTTTTTGGACTCACTGGTGTTCAAAAGGGTAAATACAGAACATCTTTATTAGAATATTGAAATGTAATGCTCTGATTTAAACAGTTTAAATGTCTGCTGTTAAGTCTGTTCATTCTTTCGTTGCTAAAGGAAGGTTGCTAGGATCTGTCCTTTATATAAGAAACCATTTTTACACGTACCCACATTTCTTAGCCAAGTAAGTTATTAAATCTATTGAAATTGCAATTGACTGTGATCTTAAGCAGAATGAAATAATAGCTTATCAGTGATGTTGTAAAAATAAATGTCTGAACATATGAATGCAACAGTGATTTCAGCATTTAACTGAGATAAGCTTGTTCACGTAAGTTTAACAAAAATGAGAATGTGTATATGTTTCTAAAGAAACTTCTTGTCTTTAACATGGCACAGGCATGGATTCCGTGAAGGAACAACACCTAAACCCAAGAGAGCAGCTGTTGCAGCATCCAGTTCATCTTGAGAATTTCAGCGATTACTCAAAATAAATACTTTGGTTTTAAAAGATATCTATCTGGTGTGCTAAGGTATTTTTTTAATTGTTAGGTTAATAAGTTCAGTGAATTTACTGGTTTGGGGAGTGGGGTGCTTAATTACTTATGCAGTTAAGTGACTGGTATATATATATGTGTGTTTGAGATTGGTCTCACTGTGTAGTTCAGGCTGACCTAAGTGACTGGTATATATGTGTGTTTGAGATCAGGCTGACCTTGAACTCACCGTGCAATTCAGGTTGGCCTCAAACCCAGCAATTGTGAGTGCTGGGTTGACTTGGCCAGTTCTTCAGTTTTTCTGTGTTAGTAGTGACGTGGCAGAGCTGTGTTTAAATTACAAGTTCACACATTTAGGATAATACCTAAGATGCTTAATCTGTCCTGTGTGGGAGGAAAAGGGACAAGTGTACTAATTCCTGCCTTTACCCTATTTTTTAAGATACATTTGTACAGAAGTCCCTGCAGCTCTGAATATAGGTTTTGCCCCAGTACATGAAACACTCATTATTTTATAGATCTTGGTTCTTAGCATTCAGGAATTGAACTGACTGTTAGGGTGATTTTACTACTTTATGCCCCACTGTTCTTTGAAAACTAGTAATTTTGAGGGGTTTTGAGTAGTTGATGAGTAGGTCCATAAATGATAGTGCCTTTTACAGGGCCACTGAAGTAAAATTTAGCCTTAAGATAATGAAATTACTTTCAACCTACAAAGACCAATTTTGTTAGATTTTGGCTTTGTAACTGTCAGTCTACTCCCCAGATCTTCATAACCTGATCTTGCTACATTACTAATGGTTCTTCAGTGATGGAGGGGCAAGTAAAATAGGTAAGACGCAGTATGGGAAAAATAACCATTGAAGCATGTAGGCAGTGATTTGACTACTTGAAATGAAATCTAGTCAGGAAAAGCATAAAGAAGGTGGGCAGTTATGTAATCTATTAAGAAAGGCCTAATTACAAGACAGTTGTAGGTGCAGTGGAGCAGTAAGGACACAGGACAGGTGAACGTAAGCATTCAGTTGTGCTTTGAATGCTAGACTGGAGTGTTCTTTCCTTGTCTCTTGTGTGTCCTGAGGGTCAGAACTGAGGTTTTGGCAGTGGGTCCATGTCACACCTCATACATTTAGGAAAGGGATCAGAAGGCCTCATTAATGCTCCTAGCCCCTCAGTTTCCCTGCTGGGCAGTTACGAATTGGCATTTCTTGGGCAGAAGGCACAAAGAACCTCAGGAACACAGTGTTCGTGAATTGTTTATTTGGTCCTTAGGTCTTTGCCCCTTCTCCCATATATACTTTACTTTGGACACTTCTCATAGGATGGTATGTAGGTAATACAGGAGTGCCATATGCTCGCTTGTTCTGTGGCAGAATTGGATAATCTTATTAGCAAATGTCTTCATTATATCAACAGTGAAGTTTCAGATAAAGGTAAGGTATTAGAAGATTGAGATCAGCCTTGAAAGATGCCATGTTGGCTCGATTAAAAGGCAAAGAAATGACGAGCATTTTGGTTTTAAAGGCTACGTGTGCCTTTTTTTTTTTTTTTTTTTTTGGAACAGGATCTTGCTAGGGAGTTCAGGCTGGCCTCAAACTCAGGAGATCCTCCTCTCTCTCCTGAGTGCTGGGATTATAGGTGTGTGAGGCTTGAGTTCCACACTGAGATAATAGACTTACGTTTAATGCAGCAGACCTCAAAAGCAGAGGACAGGAATCTTAGGATGCCTTACGTTTCTGCCAACGGCAAGGTTGGTGCATTCACTGTGGAAACAGATAGGTTTTGGGGCAATTGAGGTGAGGGGAAGTGAAATACTAAGGAAGCAATTATGTAAATCTAGTGGCAGTTGAGATTGAAAGCCAGAACTGAAGATCTACATTTCAAAGTTAATATACTATTGTGAAAGGGCACTGATTTGATTTGATTTGATTTTTTTTTCCGGTACCAGGAATTGAACTCTCGACCTCACACTTGCCAGGCAGGCGCTGTGCTGCTGAGCTAAATCCTCAGCCCCAGGATACTGATTATAAATTAGAAGGGTGAAGATATAAGCAAGATCAGTGGTAGTAGGACTTGGTACACATTTAAAAACAGAGGTGGAAGTGGTAGTGCATGCTTATAGTCCCAGCTCGTAGAAGACAGAAGTTCACAAGTTCAAAGCCAGCCTGGGTAGCTAGTGACACCCTCCTAAAAGGGAGGAGGGGTGGGACATTGGGGATAAAGTTCAGTGGGGTTCAATCACCAGCCCCACCACCAAAAAACTACTGTGAGAACAATTCAGTGAACTTCAGTAACCTTTCTTGACCCAGTAAGGATTGAAATCATTTAAGAATATAACCCCTCAAAGGGAAAAGATAATGGAGGGGGGATTGAAAGTTTAGGGAGATGGCCATCAGAGAAACGGTTGATTTGTTCAGCATATGTAATGCACACTGTGTTAGAGCAGGAGCAAAGCCAGACGACTTTCACCTTGAGGTTGACAGTCTACACCAGTGACCGCAGAATTGGTCCAGAATTTAGGATAAGGTTTAGTCATTCCAACCAATAAGGAAATTGGGTGATGGAGCATTTAGTCTTGTGGCTTAGGCCAGAAAGAAGGGTAAGAAAGACCTGGAATTGCAAAATGTTTGCTTTATTGATGTCTTCCAATTTTTTTAGTAGAGTATTTAAAATGTTTGCCCAAGGTTTAGGGGAGATTGTATAGTGAGAAATTTAGTTTGAAAAAATTATATATTTTTGGATGAATTTTGACTTTTTGTTTTTGCTAGATAGTCCTCGTTAAGCAAATCTCTTTTTAGTCACCTGTGTCAGAAGCAGTTCTAGGTCCAGGAAATAGAAATGGGAAACAATGTCCCTGCTCTGTTGAGAGACTTTGTGATAGTGGCAGTATGGGAATGAGTTGGGCATGGTGGTACACAGCTGTATCCCAGTACTTAGGAGTCGAGGCAGGAGGATCACTGCCAGCTGATACCAGCCTAAGTTATGTAGCATGACACTGTCTCAAAAAAGAAAGCTGAATCATGAGCTACTTCCTGTGAAGACACAAGAATATTCAGGCAGTGATTATCTTAGCCCTTGAGTGCTGGGTTGGTGGCAGAATTCAACTGTGGCTGCAATTAGTTAAAACTTACATGTATTCCTGTTACAAAAGCAGAGTCATACATTACAGAATTTTATCAGAAAAAGACCTTTATGACATTAGTACGTGAATTATATTTCTTAAACTTAGCCCTTTTTTTTTTTTTTTTAGAGGAGAGATACTTTGAAACATGAAGTATAGGGCTGGCTAAATAACCTCAGGATCCAAGAATGGAAGCAGTGAAGCAAAAGCTTCCTTATCTGGGAACTGAAAGAATGTGTGACATTCTTTGTTTTGTTTTGAGCCGGTCTTACTATGAAGTACAGGTTGGCCTTGAACTCCCATATCCCAGGCTGACCTCGAGCTCACAGCAATCCTCTTGCCTCAGCCTCCTGAGTGCTGTGATTACAGATGTGTGTCACCACATTCTAAAGAGAATGTACCTCTCTTGGCTGAGCACATTTGTAGAATAGACTTGGTATATGGACTGAGATCAAAACATTTTTATATCCTTTCTACATCTAGTGGCCCTAGATCAGTGGTGGCACACCTATGGCACACGTACCACAGTGGGCTATTTGTACCATTGCAAGCTCTAAAAGGTTCACCATCACTGTCCTAGATGAAGACTTATTCTAAACTGCATGTTTTTCCCCTTCAATTCACAGACAATAAAACTTCATGTTTAGTTGAAAAGTTTGTCTTTTTTCATACCCGGAATTGAACTCAGGCGCTGTGCCACTGAGCTATATCCCCGGCCCAAAAAACTTTTGATATCAAGTAAAATGTCTAGTCCTATATGACAGTCAAAACTTGCTTCTCTCAGCATAGGCTTGTTTTTGGCTAGAAGCTGGCTGTGGAAGGGGCACCGGCCCTTTTGTTTCAGCTTTCTCCCTGTGTGTCTTTCCTGGGGCTTGTGAGCTGTGCTTCCCTCCTCACTGGGGCTGAAGGGTAAATAGGATGAAGGAGATGAGGGTTCAGGAGATGGGGTAGTTCGTTCTTGGTTGGGTAGGGACTTCACAGTCTGGACCCCACAGATGATTAAACTTCTGGGTTCTTGGGTGGCCTTTCAATCTTCTGTACCCCCACTCTCCAGCCTCTATATCTTGGGATTGTTTATGGCATCAACAGGATCAAAATTACTCCACACTGGTGCTTTCTCCTAAGTGGCCCACATGCTTGGCCTGAACAAACAAGTACAGAAGGATCTCATGGAGCCCTCCCTTTGTGTCTTAGTCATTTTGCTCATAGCCGAGGCAAAATACCAATACCCACAACTTAAGGGAGAAGCTTATTTTAAAATTTTAGTCCATAGCTGACTCCAAGCAGGCCAGCATGGTGTAAGTGCATCTCTCATCATGGCCAAGAAGCAGTGAGCAAAGGGAGGAGCTGGAGAGGGAGATGACCCGGGCCATGCCAGTAACCTGCTCTTTCAGGCCAGGCCTCCTAAAACAGCAAGTCAGCCATGCTACCCACGTAATCCAATCACCTTCCAAAGAAATTTTTTTTTTTCCCTTTGGTTTTTTGAGACAGGGTCTCACTATGCAGTTCAAACTGGTCTTGGGCTCACTTTGTAGCCCAGGCTGGTCTCGAGCTTGCAATGATCCTGCCTCAGCCTCCCGAGTGCTGGGATTACAGGCGTGCACCACCACCTCCGGCTTCCAAAGAAACTTCTTTAGTTGTCTCTAATGCCTGTGTCCTTGATCTGAACTGAAAAGCTGTGTGTGAGAGAGAGTGTGTTAAGACATTTTGGTAGTTTCTGAGGCAGGAAAAAATGACATTGTGATATTTGTGTGGGCCTGCAAATATCTAACAAATGTAAAAAGCATTTGGTTTGCTTTTAAAAAATACAACTATACGAAGCTGTGCTCCTAGTGGAAAGATTACCATGAGCTCAAGGTCAGCCTGAACTTCATAGAGAGACCCTGTCTCAAAAATA